CTTTTCTGAATTTGATCCCTAACGACCCTTTCTCAATTTGATCCCTTACGAGAACATCTAGACACAAAACAGGTATTACTTACTTAACATTTTGTGACTCAATTGTTCAGTATATGAACCAGTGACCAAAATTTATGTCTTTTGGCTAAAAAAATTATAAATTTAGTACATCATGGTCCTCCTAGCTACCGTACCTACATTAACTTTATTACTCAAAGCCAGGTGTGGCACATGGCCGTAATCCCAGCACTCGAGAGGCTGAGACAGGAAGGCTGCAATGAGTTCAAGGCCAGCATGATCTACATAGCAAGACCCTGTCTCCAAAAACCAAAATAAATAAATAACATTATTACTCTAAGAATCTCAGAGGACTTCTTCAGAAAACTCTGTCACCCTATAGTTTCCACCTCCAACCCTAACAAATAGCTTCTCACCTGTCTTACACATGTGGAAGTACAATAGACTCCGAGATCAAGGATCATTCATACTTCATGTCTCCTTGTTCATGCTGTGCCCAAAGCTGCCTTTAAAAAATTACATTTTTGGGGTCGGCAAGATAGCTCAGCAGTCTAAAGCCCTGCTTAGGCAAGTTTAGGCAAGCACAGGGGACTGCAGTTCGACCCCTAGCACCACATGCCATACCAGACCTGCCCTCAGGGTTGAGGCCAAGAAAAAAAAAAATATTCAAAATTAATTTTGTATGGAAAGTGTTTTAGTTTTCATTCTTTTTACTGGTTATATGGATCAATGGGATTCCTCCAGACAAATGCATTCAAACCTGTAACATACATTGATCATTTGTACCCCACCACTTTGCCAGCCCTCCACTGTTAGTTTCACATTTGGGGGTTTGAATGTGTATCTTCTGATCATCTCTACTCCCCTATCACCTGCCCTTCAGACTTTCCCCTCCCTTTTATTTCTTTTCTCTCGGCTAACAGTAGCTTTCCTTCTACCTTCTTGCCATTGACTTGGAATCCATGTGTCTCACTTATTTTCTTGTTGATCAGACAATATACCTGACATCCAGAGTTAGAGGAGGAAGGGCTTATCCAGCTCACAATATGTGGGGGCTTCAGCTCACAGCTGGCTGGCTCTGTGGCAGGGTGGTGTGGCACAGGGGCATCGAGAGAAGACTCAGCTCGTGATGGGCAGAGAGCAGCAAAGTAGGGAAGAAGCAAAGCAGCAAGGGACAGCAGGGACCCTCTTCCTGTCCCTTACATCCTAGCCAGGTTATCCGCCCCAGGGTGGGGCAGCGTTCATCCTGGCATCTCACCGTGAGTCAATGCCCGCATCACACCCTGGATCCCAGCACCACACTCCCTAGGTCCACCACCTCTGAAATGCCCTACCTATGGCCTCATGAGCCTCTGTGGGGGGACAGCTAGACACAAGCCAAAATACCATGCATCAGGGACAGTGTGATATCTGTCTTTCTGAGCCTGGCTCGTTTCACCCCACATGGTCTCCAGATCCATCCATCTTCCTGAAGATAGAATTCTGCTCTTCCTTATGGTGAGTAATACCCCACTGTGCATCTGTACCATGTTTTCTTTAACCATTCACCACCGAAGGACACCGAGGTTGGTTCAATACCTTAGCTACTGTGAGCCGAACTGCAGCAAACACGAATACATAAGCATCCCCACAGTGTGCTGACTTTAATGTGTTGGGTATGATTCATATGGTAGCTCTGGTTTTAGTTTTCTGAGGAACCTCCATCCTGACTTTCATAGTGGTTGACTAATTTAAATACCCATCAGAGTGCAGAAGGGGCCCCCTCATCCTTCCCATCATGCACTGCTGTTGTCTTCTTCATGGCAGCCATGCTGACAGGAGAGACTGAACCTCCATCTAGTTCCAGTGAAAGCATCCCATTTTAAAAGCGCAAATCAGAAACAGTTTTCAGGTGTCCCCTTCCTTGAACACTGAGTTATTGAGCATGTCTCATGAGAGTCAGCGCTGCAGTCTCTGAGGTTTCACTGGGCCTTTAGTGAAGTCAGACAATTCTCTCATTCAACCCCAGCTGATTTCTCATTCCGCCCACAGGGACAGCTGCTCCAAACTTCTGAAGTCTCCTGAAGTTCCCTAGCCAGGCCTGCACCTTTACTTTCCCCGGAGGACCTCACTTGCTGTTACACCTGAAAACAGAGGTCACATAATGTGGCCAAACTCCACACCAGCCTATTCTACCTGGAGCTTGAAGTCTGAGAACAGCTGCTGCAGGACAACCTGCAGGTGAGGAAAACACCCCCCAAAAGGCCGACAGGCGGCCAGCAACGGGCTTGACTCAGACATCTCTCCGTCAGGGAGCTGTGCTTGTTCTCTTCTCTGGCTGCCCCGCTTTGGAGTCACCCTCAGGCTACCTAAGGCCACACATCCAGAATGATCTCTGCAAGATCCTCTGCCTGAGTGGGTTCAAGCCATGCCTTCTCACGGCCATTTCCTTCAAGAGTCGTACCTAACTCATTTCTTCTCTCTTGCCAGGGTTCACGCAGCATGGCTGAAGTGCCATCTGCGGAGGCACATCACACGCAGCCCTAGCTCGGCACAGGGGCCACGGCTGGAAAGCCAATATCCACACTCGGCATCCTGGGAGGCGTCACACACCCACTGCCTGAATTCTAAAGTGCCTTTGTACAGCAAGGCCCACCAGGGCCCTTAGAGAATCTGCAGATCACAAAGTGCCTTTCAGTTGAGCTGACTTAATGCCAGATGCCATGGCTTCATCTGCTTAAATCAACACACAATATATAATTAAAAAAGTGTTCCTTTAGGGATGAAGGACCTCCATCCAAAAGAGCCACATATGCAGGAGCTTTCTTTTCTTCCTATTCCCATGGCCTCATCACAGGCTGGGACTTACAGACATGAGCTCATGCCAGGGCTCCTGCGGTGACAGGCAGGTAACAATTGTAAAAATCAGACTTCCCTTTGCTCAATTTTCAGAGACAGAAAGGTGGCGACCAGCTTAAAGGCACACAGCAAGCCAGGCTGTCCTTGTCCACCACCCTGTCCAAGCAAGAAGAAAGGCGAAGCATGCCCTTGACATTTCTAGTGGGTTGCACAATACTACCTACCACCATGCAGAGGAAGAGTTCCTGCCTGAACTGTGTTGAAAGGCAAGTGTACGGCTCCTGCTCAGCCTCACTCCCTTCTCGTTGTCTCCTCAGGTTCTGCCCACCCACCTGGGCCACTGAGGAGCACCTCCCACCAGAAGCCCGCAATGACGCTCACTTCAGTACCTTAACAGAGCCTAACTCCCATCGCAACAGCAAAATCCAGGAAAGCTCTGGGGACTCAGGGCTTAAAGAGAGCTGTGGGTTCACTATGGACAAGAGCCAAATTCTTAATAATTATGTAAATAACACATCCCCACAATACAGATATAAATAGAATAGTACTTATTACGTGTAAGCACTCTGCTCCGCACTTGCACGCATCTCTCATGGCAAGAGCATCCCAGATGTCCCACCCCTCCTCCACACTGGCCTTCCATTCAGGGCCTAGAAGGCAGCAGCACATACCACGCCCTGCTGCTTCCAGGGCAGGACCACGCTCTGGACCACAGCCTTGGACCACAGCCGTGGCTTTGCTCCTCACAGTGACAGGCCCAAAGGGCCTTTACAAAGGCTCCAGTGAGGTGACTGATGTCTGGCTTCCTTGTGGTCAACTACAAGCAAATAATACTCACCAGGAAAGAAATAGACTCATTGTTACAGTGACCACATGGGGGCCACAAAAGGCCATGCTGTGAAGCTCCTAGTGGAACCCTGGGGCTGATGTGGCCAAGAGCAGCCTCCAACAGGAGGAGTCCCATTTTCTGGGAGCGCTGTTACCAATGCTAATTAGCTTGTTGCCTATTCATCACCTAATTCTGCTTTGGGTCAATGACAGCAGCAGAAGCCCACTGAACAGGAAGAAAGCACAATTTATCAGAGGGGACCCAGACCGTTCTCCTGGGGCCATCTACCACAGCACTTCCTGAATTCCTTCTCTGGGACAGCCTCTGATTAGAGTAAAACTCTCCGACTCCACTAGACCGTACCCCCTATTTTTGGCTGAATGCCTAATGTCCCACTCGGACAGAACAAGGCCGCCTACCAAACTGGTGAGCACTAGTTGGGAAATGTAATAAAGAAGCTTAGAGAGCAGAGACTGCCCGCCCTGAGGCTCAGCCATCCAAACCCCCCTGAGGCACTGGCTTTGTAAACAAGGCACTGGACAACAGGCTCTTCTCAAGGCCTCCTAACTGCCCTGGCAGATGGCAGCTCCAGCCAACTAGGAGCTCTCTCCATAATTATCACACCCCACAGGTGGAACCCAGGTGCACAGCAAAACCCTTCCCCTTCCACTGACTGTAATCCCTGACCAGTTACACACACACACACACACACACACACACTCACAGATTCCCACCCTCAGGACCACCTGAGCCCCTCTGGAGGAATACAAGTCCCACAGCTACTCGATTCTATGACCATCTTAGGAAGCTGTTCCTCAGAAGAGCTACCCACCCTCACTTCCAGCAGACCTCTGAAATTCCACCATTACAGATTATCAACTATTTTGACTTAAAGCTTTCTCTTCCATTAAAATGTCTCCCATCCTCTGCGTCCTCTCTGGTCAGACTACTGCTAAAACACCTGTTCTTCATCACATGGGAGATTCTTTTGCATTTAGGTCTTCAAAATAAAGGCACTGACTTCTTGAAAACAAGGTTTAATGTTGATGAGTAAAGAAGCCCCTGGGACTCGGTGGAAGGAGAGGTAGAGGCCTCAACCAAGATCATGAGACCAGACAGTGAGCAAACCAGTCCTCTAGCCACCCCCCCCAGTCCTGACCACGGCTGTGGGCCTAGATTTTTGCTTGCCCATCAGAAGGACTGGGTTGCTTGCATTGGTTGCAGCTGGGCCTATGTCCCAGAATAAGGATGGAGACCCACAGGCAGGAGGGAAAAGTGGGAGCTCAGGATACCCTGGCCTGTTCACCCCTCCGACCTGCAGCACCACCCCTGTCCCGCTGGATATGCTGGGAAGGTGCTGGCACTCAGCAACGGGCAGGAAAAGGTCGCTGCCCATTCGCGGCCTAGCAGGAGGGGCAAGTGATGGCGCAGCAGCATAGCCAGCGGGACAGCACTGATCTGGGACCCTGAGAAAGGAAAGTTCAGAGTCACACTCCCCGGACAGGGGAGGCACCTGGACTGTCACTGTGTCCTTTCCAGCCGATTCTCCGTTTAGGGTGCCACCCTTCTGAGGGGCCACATTACAGCTGCAGCGCCCACGCTGAAGGCACCTGCTTCTCGCTGCTGCACCGGGTGCGACTGAACCTTTAAAAGGGTGCTGGGGCTGTCCAGAAAGTACAAGCCACAGACAGCTGACAGTTGGGCGGCTTCCAGGTTCTACAAAGCTCCAGAAAACCAACCTTCAGCCCTGGGAGTCGGCCCACGGGGTCCTCCTCCTTCCCCTGGCTGAAGCGTGATCCCGCGTAGGCCAGAGCGCTTCAAAGCAGGTCAGCGGTGCCTCCGGCTCACCGCTCCTCCAGCCCCTGCCAGTCTCCGGGCGCCCGCGCCCCACCCATCGCGCGCACCGCGCACCGCGCACCGCGGGGGGCTGAGCCCGGGCGGCGGCTGGGCAGCTCGCGCCGGCCCCAGGAAGCGGACGGCGGCCGCGACAGGCGCTGTGCGGGACCTGGCGCGGGGTTAGCAGCTGTGGCAGGTGTCTCCGGCCTGGGTGATAAGCGCCGCCTCCTCGCCTGGCCGCGGCTCCGGCCCAGGCCGCGCACCTGCTGCCGATCCGCCTGCGCGACCCGCGGTGCGGCC